TTTGCCTGTATACAAGTCTGACCAATTTTATGCTCATTCTACTTGGCTCGATTACCTTGCTTACTCCACTCGTGTGCGGCCACGCTCAGACTCGTACTACTCGGTTGACCGTCGCGGTAATTATTTATCTCGACTCCTAGAGTCTTGCCAGATGCTGTTTAAAATCTTCGACCCTTTCCACGGATTATCGGCTTCCACGTTCGACCTAAGAGCAGGTCGAGAGGTATTCTTGAATCGGAGATGAAATACAAATACGTGACCCGTTTTACGAGCTCCGAATGAAATAAGAATCTCGCACTATAAATCCTGATTCATTTTTCCCAACGAGATTCGTTTCTCATCTCAATATTCAGATTATCTACATGGAATCACTAAGGAGATGTATCAATTCGTCTCCAGTTTGAAGTTTATATCAGTTTCATATTAAAAGCTCGTATCGAATTTGTTTTAAAAAAAATGTAATTATAAACGTAATCGAATTTTGATCATCGTACTTGTTCTGTTGATTCAGTCGGCAGATTGGAAATATGTGACGAGATAATTGAGTGATTCGATGGAAAAAGCGAATCGGTTTTCAATTTCGTCGATATCAATCTTCACGGGAATAATTATACGAAAGTAGTGGATCCTTGTATACCAAGTGAACTAATATAGTTATTTCCAATATTCGTATGGTCGAACGATCACTATGATCTCAAAGGGCGCACGGAATCAGGCAGGCCAAAGGGAAATTTATGCAACACCGGTTGCGCGCTACGCGAAAGGATCAGTGTTCCACGTAGACGCATATATACGTACGTGTACATGAATATATACACACGCGGGATAATGATTTTTGCGTGGGCGTGCAGTCGGCCGTCGGATGCGAAATGGGAAACTGTAATGCTCGGGAGAGAGCTCTTTTCATAGAGAGTTCGCTGACCCTTGCACGCTGGCTTCGCTTCCGTCATTCAAGGTCGAACAAAGTTGCCCGCCCGCACTCTGTTAAACTTCCTATCCCGTCCAACAGCGTCATGAAAGAATATTCGGTCCTAATCGCAGTTTCATCTCGCTCGAGTTCGAATGATAAAATCGAGTATGCTAGGCAGGGACGGATTAAACG